TGTAACCGGGTGTATGTCTCTTTCTAGGCCTTTAACTCTGCACAAAAACCATTATTCCGCCTCTTTGTAACGCTATTAAAAAGAGGCGGAAGATGATGAAATAAGGAGATATTCTCGTGTATATTATTGTTATAATAGCTGACCCGATGTGTTTCGTATCACGTCTTGGACTATAATGAACATTTCAAAATTAAAATCAGCTGATTCGGCCCAGCCGTTCTTGATATTTAGCGAGACAAACAAACAGCTTTTAAATATGAAAATACGATACAATTCTTTCTTCTACACTAACCTCGAAGACTATTATCCTACTGATAAGAAGAAACTTGTCAAAATATCTATTGTAATGTTGTTCAGAAATGATAATGCCAACACAGTAGTTAATATTTTATTAAACGTCTAGCTCGGACAACGGTTGTCACCAGAATGCCCAAATCGCCATCTTTTCTCTTAATCGTAGTCATTTTATCAGCATAGACTTATGTGTCTATGTTTTATCACAGACTACGTAGTCTATGTTTTACTACAGACTATGCCAGGGCTTCCCTAACTGTGCGTCGCGACGCCCTGGGGCGTCGCGTGTCGATATCGATGCGACTAAGTCAAGTGAGCGCCGCATGCATACTGTCAACGCGATGCGAACGCGGACATATGTGACATATTTAACAAATTAAATGATCTTAATGAGTGTATGCAGGGAAACAATACTCACATCCTGCAATTGGCAGATAAAATTACGGGATTTCAGAAGAAATTACACTAATGGAAGAGAAAATTAGAAGATCAAGTAATTTACTATTTCCCTGCTTTACAAAGTATTCTACTAGAAAAATCGATAAAAAACCTTGATCCTTCTTTAAAAATAATATTTACACAGCACTTGCTCTCACTAAGCGAACACTTTGAAAAATATTTTCCTGATAATCTAGAGCAATACGACTGGGTTAGAAACCCGTTCCAGTCGCCCAAACCATCCACACTTTTGACAGAAAGTAGTTTAACAGAAGAAGAATAACTAATAGAATTATCCTGTGATTCCAACCAAAAGCTTCAATACGACAAAGATAAACTGTTTGAATTTTGGAGCTCAGTTTCTGACGAATATCGTGCCATCAGAACTGCAGCATTAAAGGTTTTATTACCATTTACGACTTCGTACTTGTGCGAAACAGGTTTTTCTGTACAGGTACAGGTCAAAAATAGACGTAGAGAAAGAAGTGAGAGTGGCAATTTCTAAACTGGAGCCCCGTTTTAAAAAACTATGCTCAGAAAAGCTAGCACATCCATCTCATTAGGAGCCAGCCAGTGAGTTATATCTCTTTTTTATGCTTATGACTTACGTTTTGAATTTGTTTTCATTTATTAAAAAATATAAAAGTCAAATTCGTGTCTTCCTGATAACCTGTTACTAAATTAGTACATATAAAAACTGGTTAGTATTTTTGGGGACTGCGTTGAGGGGCGTCGTAAAAAAATGACAAAGACCCAAGGGAGTCACAGTACAAATAAGTTTGGGAAGCCCTGGACTATGCAGTCTATGCTCTATACTTCATAAAGGCGCACATACACTGTAGAATACAAAGTTTGTCTATGAGCAGAAACTTAAGAGGTTTATTAAAAATAGTAACACAACACTATATCGAATAAGACTTAATAATGGATAGTACAATTTAAATATTGAAAGTTAATAAAAGTTATGGTTTGCAGTCTATTGAATTAAGAGACGTATTAGGTCACTAATTTTAATCATTTACACTATATTCAGATAAACTTTTGAATCGTCTAACATCTTTTTATCTACCCACGTAAGGGTAAGGAAGGAGGCTAAAGACAAAATCGTGTCCCTCTAAGCTAAGATGCGACCGCCTAACCACAGTTTCTGTGGCTTACTCTCTAGCCATGACTCTATCCATAGGATACGAAATCTTAGCGATTTTGGGGTGATACGCTACATTTCGTTTAATTTTACTACTTTCACATGCACTATATTATCGATGAGCAAATGTTAAAGAACGATGACTATTGATTTGACACCAGTTTTACCAATTTATACTTATACTTAGTTGTCGTTATTAAAAAAAAAGATATGTGATATGAAATATTTTATATGTTTTGACTAAAGAGTTGGGCAGTATCACCCTTGCTGGACCAACGATCTGATAAAGGTAGCAGGAAGCTTCTGGATGCGGGCAGCGTTACAACGGGCATCATAAGGCTCGTTCTGGGTACACTTTAATGTGAGATTCAGTTGCTAATGGCACAAAAGCTAGTATGACATATACATTAAATAATTAAATTGTGATTATATTATGTATATTGAATTATACTTCCATTTTAGGTATTATTTTATTGAATTCCTTTATGTTGTTATAGATAATTACTGAACATGATTTCATTGCTTTCTTTATTTAAGACCAGCTTTTGCCCTTCGTCCGCGTGGCATAGTTACTTTGGGCAGCATTTCTAAAAACGCTAAAACCTGAATAAAAAGTTTCACGATTTTATCTGTGACAATGACGAATCTCCATAAAAATTTTAAATCCCTATTACAGCCTTTTAACCACAATAAAAAGCAATCTATGTACTATCTCAAGTCAACTAGCTTAACAGACATACACAGGCCTACTTTCACTATAAAATAATAGTATGGAAGAATTAAACGATTCTCTTTGTCGCTCATTATATCATATAATAAGAGATTATTACCCGACAGTTACCAAAATAAATAGACTAAGAACGATATAAATCACGATTGCTTGGTCGACTTTAAAACTCACAGGTGATGTTTTTCGAGTTTAAATCGGGGAGATTTTGTGTGAACATTGAGGTTAATATATAATGAATATTTCGTAGGCAACTGAGTAAAACATCTATCCAATTAGGCGGCTATAATAGAATATCGCCATTCATTTGCACCGGTAAATATAGATCAGCTGAGTAAGCATCATAAAGTTCTTCTACAGTGCGGCTGTACAAAGACCAGAGAACTCGTTAATTGTTAAGGATCACGATATTAAACATAATTATTAATTTTATTAATAGCAATATATCCGCGATATTAGAATAATTACTTTGATCTTCAACTTCGAAGACAACAAAGAGCTATTTATTTAAGTACAGCAACAGCTATACATGTAATTAATAAAAAACTAACATGTAATATACTTCAGATCTAAGCTCTAAGTACTTTATCTCTATTTTTAGAGAAAAGAAAAACACATATGTCATGTTTATACAAAACTTAATCGAAAACTGAAATCTACGTACAATTCTTTCAAAAAACGATAACGCAGTTTAGTTAAAAATAAACGCCAAGGATATTTAAGTATTTTAACAATGTCAAGTAGATGATTTTAAACATTTAATATTAATTAATTATATCACGAACTCAATTAAATTAAATTGTAACGAATTAAATTATAAAAATATATTTTTAAAACTCAACCCTGACCAAAACAGTGCGATGTAGAAATATACTTAACGCCACATAGTATAGCACAAAATATATATTTTGTGTTGTCATTCGTATACAAAATGATTTGTACTTAGATTATACAATGTATTTGTACTTGAAAAATATTTATTTAATTTTTTTTTTATTAAATATAAACTAGAATACCACTCACCCTTTCCAAGACTTTGGAGACTCCTAAACGAAAACAGCAGCATCATTGATGTACATGGTGACACATTTACGAGGATGAAATCGGTATTGTTTGAGACATGGAAACAATCTCACAATGTATTTATCATAATATAAGGAAGGAGTCACATTTTTATCACAATATAAATCTTTATAAATAAAAGATTTATTACAATGACAAAATCAAATTGTATACAATGGTTGCTATGGTGTCATATTTATACCCCATAAAAACCTTTCACTCCCATTTTTATCCCAATAAGTGCTAGTTTTCAGGATAAAATATAACCTATTAGCTTAGCAGGGTCTTTAACTATCCAAATATCAATTTTTATCAATATAGGTCCGAAAAACAAGTTTCATACAAACGTTTTCACCCTGTGACAGCTTCGGTGCTAGTTGTTGGTTGGAAAATGAAACGGCTGACTAGACTTGATAAGTTGGTATACTTATAGTCTAAATAAAAATCTTTGTTGGGTTTATATTAAATTAATAATATATTAATTTTCAATGATAATCGTGTTGTTAGCGGAAGAATTCTTTACGAACTCAAGTTCAGAAAGAGAATATTACGTTATTCAAAATTTAAAATTAGAAAAATAAAAATCATGTTAAATAGCAAAAACAAAAAGTTTGGATATGGATACCTGGGACAAAATAAACGGTGTTGTACGACGCACAGTTACAACCCTTTGCATCCCTTTCGGGGTGGAATTTCCAAAAATCCGTTCTTAGTACACCTCACCACCATCACGTAATAAGATGAATGTAGGTACTCTCCAAAATTCAATTCTCTACAACTAGCGGTTTAGACTGTGCTTTGTCTGTCAGTCAGTATATCAAGACATCTTCTTATATATACGTTTAGATTGTTTTGAAATTGTTTGGTTCAATGTTGATAAATCTGAAATATGTATGTATATGAAGCGGTTATCGCTGAATTATTCTTCAGTCTTTACCTATTAACATATTTCAATCAGGTGTTTGGTTATTGCATTTACTATTTTCGGTGAAGATATTAAAGGTGGTAGCCGTGATTAGTATAGTCTAGGTTGTTCTTATTTAGACATTACTACGACAATACCAGTTTAAAGAATGTTTTAATAAAAATCCTATAGGTCCAATCGAATATGACGAAATGAACCATTAAAAAATCCATTAAGAATCTTCCATTCATGAACGTACAACCTGCAAACATATAACGTGAATCAGATACGATACAACTATCACTCTGGCCAGCACCTGTTTGTTTCATTAAAATTACAGGTAAATCCATTTAAAACAAGTTGCACGCGCCAGTTTCGCAGCGCAAGCCGTCGCGCGCGCACGCTCAACCGTAACATGTGAATTCCGAACTATGTTTTCAACACTGATAGTGACCTTGACAGTGGCGGCAATTGATGGATTACCTCAACCGCAATATTTAATGCAGTACTTGCCCGTCATTCTGGCACCACAGGAAAGAAGTTCTAATGTAAACACACTGTACGATGAAAGTGATTTTTTAAATTATGATGTGTCATCAATTTATAAAAGACCCGGAGAAAAAGCCCGATTGACAGTTGAACCTATTAAAATTAATAGAGGTCTTACGGAAAGTGAAATTGCCAACGATGAAGCTAATAGATTAACTTTCACTAGAGTAGAGGACAGTTATACAGGATCCCCTAGACATGTACGCTTAAGAAACGGTTTCGATAAAAATAGAATGGCATATATCAAACAGCTTATTGAACGTCGCGAAGGAAATACTCATAAACCCAATGACGTAGTAACAGAAAATGCAAGATTGATACAGAATACTGACACTTCAACTTTAAAACCAGTAACAGTTCTTAAAAATAGTTTTTCGTCGAACGCTGACACCGAACAAGATAATACAATGACTTCTATTGACTCAAATAAGAGAAATCAAATTATCTACCGCAATAGAACACAGAAATTAGCGTCAATGCCTAGAAATCGAATATCTCATAGCCTGAACAGAAAAAATATACCATTACAAAACGAAAGCAACTCCAGAGATGCTAATACAACATTTACGAAGCATATAATAGCGGAGGTAATTGATGAACCAATTATGGAAACACTAAATGGGAATAATAGTAAAAATCCAGTTATAGAATTAATAGAGAAAAGCACACAGAAAGTTGTAAATTCTAGTGAACCAGAAAATGGTTTACGTAACGGACTCTATACTCCAGTAAGTGATGAAGAAGATAGATGGATATGGGGTACGACTGAAAAAGTTGAAACTACCACACCAGATATTGAAAACAGAGTATCTTTTGATGGAGGCTCGTGTCCCACTGGCAAAGTTAAAATTGCGGGCATATGTGTAGTCCCTGATAAAAGTTAGCCTGCTATTTACAATGGTAATAGCTTCTAAATACTTTTTTCTATACCAAGTGCGTAAATATAATTAAAAAATAATAAGATCAGACTAATATCACTATGTGACATAAAAAAATTATAATCCGATATTGATTAAGTGTTTATTCCGCCTGTATTTATTTAACTGTAAACCTTTTTTAGTAAGGAATTTTTTTTATAAAAAACAACTCACGAATCGATTCTATTTTTAGAAGAACAAGTTATTAAGGTCAGTCAGTATCTTTGAAATGTGTTCTGCTATTTTTGTCCACATTACACTTTTTTTTAATACGGTTTACAATGTTCGGATACTAAAATTACCGTTCCTAGGTCCTTAATAAAAATCCTTTAATAGTAAATAGTAATGTTAAAATATTCTAAATAAATATTTCATTATTGTTACATTAAAATATTGAATAAAATATATTTAATATTCAACTTTCTTCTATCCTACCATGAACCGATAGTAATCTAGCACCAATTCCCTTCAATTCTCATAGATGTTACGACAACAGCGAAAAACCTTGAGACCGTCATCGACACTCTATTACCATCAAGCAACACGAAAAACCTGAAGCACATGGAGTAAAATACGTATACCTATGAGCGTGATAGGAAATCTTGATATTGTAATTTTACTTTATACTTATGCCCTAAAATGTTTCTGAGCTATTTAAAATATTTAGGACTCAACTTTATTAATGATAAGACATTACTGTAATTGAGAGATAATTATAGTGATGTATATGTACATAATAACTATGTTTTAATTATTAACCACTGACTTCTTTGAACTACATGGTACTTCGAAGCATTTAAATTTTAATGGACATCTCTAGTTGTAGATAATTATTGCAAAAATGGGGCAAAGTTACAATACTGTACCATTATAGCGTTCTGACAATCGAATGTCTGAGCTTTTCTTGACCGCCGTCCGTTGCTCGTCATGTGTACAGTCGCTGTGCCGGACTGTACCTGACCAGTCAGCCGTGTGACATTTCTGTCCGGTTCGGTCCATCGTCTGAAATAAGCCTTATATGAATAAGAAAATACAACAATCACTTAGGTCAGGACCTGTACATGTCACGTGGCATACAAGAAATACTATATAAACTAGCCGCACGCGTCAGATTTTTATCGAAGGCCGTCGTGTGTATACGCTCTACCTGTGAATTATAAACTATGTTTTTAACATTGATCGTGGTTTTGACATTAGCGGTTGTGAATGGTTTACCTCAACCAGAGGTTGGGCAGCTGCGAAATTATGCACAGAACTTGCCGGTTTATCAGGCATCAAATAGCAATAATTTTGTAGGACCGTTAAGAACTAAGAAATCCTATGGAGTAATGAGAAGAGCTGAGTCAGTGAATCATAATGGTAGCGGATTCGACAGCCGAGTAAATGATGCAGAAAATATCGCGCCAGATGTTGATAATAGAGATTCATTCAACGGAGACAAATGTCCCACTGGTTATAAAAGAGATGGCAAAGAATGTAAAAAAATATACAAAAGATAATGTTTGTCTGTACATATATTAAAACAAAGATTATCTTGCATGCGTTTAACGTTTGGAATTAGTCCTGAAATCAGCAGTATTAATTATAAATTATGTGTTAATTTGACATAAATTTGACAAAAACTATTAATTTATTTTTTGTAATTTAATATATAATTATACATTGTTAATAAGTAAAACTAAATTAGATATTTGGGCATTTCTACATTAATTAAAATATGTACTAAAAATTGAATAAATTGCATGTGCAGAATAATTCACATTTTTCAGATTTTATTATTAAACCGTATAATAAAATCAACTTTGCAAGCTTAGTCAACCTTTCATCAATTCGCTCAAACATCGAACTCGTCACAACGGTAAGGAGGGAGACTAAAGTTAGATAATATTTACGGTTAGTTAGATGATGATACCAATTTAAATAACGTTTTATTAAAAAAAATAATCTCCTTAAGTCCAGTAAATAATAACCTAATGGAGGTTTACAAATCCATAGGGAACCTTGCATTCATAATTGTTCCACCTTTAAAATACGGTACAATTATCACTACAGTCAGCACCTGTCTGTGTCATGAGAATTACAAGAAAAAACCCATTTAAAACAAATTGCATGTGTCAGTTTCGCAACGACAGCCGTCGCGCGCGCACGCTCAACCATAAAATGTGAATTCCGAATTATGTTTTCAACACTGATAGTGACCTTGACAGTGGCGGCAATTGATGGATTACCTCAACAACAATATTCAATGCAGTACTTGCCCATCATTCAACCACCAATGAAAAGAAGTTTTGGTGAAAACAAACTGTACGATGAAAGTAATTTTTTTTAATCGTGACGTATCGTCTATTTACAAAAGACTCGGAGAAAATGTCCGATTGACAGCTGAATCTATCAAAATTAATAGAGGTCTTACGGAAAGCGAAATTGCCAAAGATGAAGCTAATAGAGCAAGTTTCACTAAAGTAGAGGACAGTTATGCAGGATCCTCCAGGCATGTACGCCTAAGAAACGGTTTCGAAAACAATGGAATGGCATATATCAAACTGCCTATTGAGCTTCGTGAAGGAAATAGTCACAAAAGCGATGACATTGTAACAAAAAATGCAAGACTAATGCAAAAAACCGACGCTTCAACTTTTAAACCAGTAACAGTGATTAAAGGCGGTTTTTCGTTGAATACTGAAACTGAACCTGACAACAAAGTGACTTTTGTTGACTCAAACAAAAAAAATCAAACTATATATCGTAAGACACCACAGAAAACAGTGTCCATGCCAAGAAATAGAATATCTCATACATTGAGTAGAACAAATGTATCATTACAAAATGATAGCGATTCCATATATCTAGAGTCCATAAAAGATACTGGCAAAACATTAACACAGCGTATAATAACGGATGTAACTGATGAACCAATAATAGAACCAGTGAATGAGGAGACTAGGAAGAAGTCAGTTACAGAGTTTATACAGAATAGCACACAATTAGTTGTAAATTCTAGTGAACCAGAGAATCGAGTTAAACCAGAGAAGCGAGTTAAACCAATGAATCCTAATGTTAGTGATCTTTATAATCCAGTAAGTGATGAAGAAGATAGATGGATATGGGGTAGGACTAAAGAAATTGAAACTACCACGCCAGATATTGAAAACAGAGTATCTTTTAATGGAGACTCGTGTCCTACTGGCAAAGTAAAAATTGCCGGTATATGTATTGTCCCTGATACAAATTAGCCACTTATGAAAAATAATACAGGTTCTAAAACGTTTATTCCATCCTAAGTGCGTAAATATAACAAAATATACAATGCCAGTGTTAATTAGTGTCACTATGTGACGTAAAAAAAATAATATTGATTAAGTTTTTTGCTCCACCTGCATTTAACTGTAAATCTTGCTTTTTTTCTTATTAAGAAACAACGACTTACGAATCAATTCTATTTTTATACGAATGACTTGTTTTTTCACAAGGTCAACATCTTTGGAATGTAATTTGCTATTTCTATCCACATTGCACTTACATTTTTTTTAATACGGTTTACGTTGTTTAATCACTTGTATAAAATTACTTTTGAGGCTCTAGGTCCATAATATATTTTTTTTATTAGAAACAGTAATGTCCAATTGTGATCTTCAAATATTGAATATAATAAAAAAATCATTTATATGTGTTCAGAAAAATTTATAAATATAAATATTATTAAATTGAAACAGGATATGTTAACATTGCAATTTTAATTATATATATGCTTCGTTGCACACTACAACGGAAATAATACAAAGAAGTATACAAAAGGCGACCTTATTGCTAAGCAGCAATCTCTTCCAGAGTGTCTCTTTACTTGAGGAACAAAGTAACCCTAAGTACGAGGTTTCCTTATTGCTTCTGGAAATGAGTTCCAAAGGCGCACAATATATACGGTAGGAGAGGAAGTCAGTAGCGTGACAGGGAATTGAGGGGGTTAAGTTTGATGAAGAGAGCAGAGTGCACCTAATTTTAGAAAAGCAGGAGAAAGAGAACAGAGTAAGGTAATGCATCTACTTTAGATCCTTCATTCATAACGCAATAAAGGACATTAAATAGTTACGGAAGCTTTGTTCACACAAGGCACTGGACGAGACACGAAAAGACTCTATCGAGAAATAAAACTTATGTAGTACAATGAACACGTACAGTTTTTACAGTCCGTTAATCAAACGTATCTGCCGTAATACAAAAAGTCTACGCCTGTCCTCTGGTCGCTAAAACAGATAGAGACGTTGCATGGGATCGTTCACAAGTGGCGGACCCCGGACTACGCGACCCCGGACCGGCCGGCGACCTGACTAAAAACAAAAATCAACAAAAGAGTTTAAAATATAGGAAATGCATATAAGATTGGCTGTATTTTTTTTATTACATTCTATTTCAATCAACTTCTACGGATTTAATTGATTTCATTAATCTTTGACGGTCTCAATTCTTGAACTTCATTGGACTATATGGAACTTCAAAAGACTTTACTAGTAGGTAATTATTGTAACCGTTCTTACAGTTATAAAACTGTACCATTATTTTTACTGTGGATATTGCGTTTTGAAAATTGAATGTCTACGCCTCGCTTGACTGTCGGCGCCGTGTGAACAGTTGCCGGGCCGGACCGGATCAGTCAGCCGCGGACTTTTCGGTCCGGTCTGGACGGTACGGACCGTCGTCTGAACAATACCTTAACATGCATGGGAAAGTCAATTACTCGGGTTAGGTGGAATGAGAAAAACTAGGTATTTAAACTAGCCGCACGCATCAAATTTATAACAAAAGCTATTGTGTGTGCTATTGTGTCTACAAGTGAATTATAAAATATGTTTTTAACATTGATCTTGGTTTTGACAGTAGTGGTTGTGAACGGTTTACCTCAACCAGAGTCACAGCAACCGCAATATTATGTACCAAACTTGCCCGTCTATCAGGCACCATCAAAAAGGAGTGTTTTACCAAACACCCACACGCAACAATCAGGTAACACAGTGATAACATAAAAATATATTTGATAACTTAATCAAACTAAATTTGTAGCGAAAAAAATAAATAATTTAAAGAAAAACAAAAAAACCTGACTGCGTAAAAACGAATTTAAAAAAATACATGAAAAACTTAAATAAAAACTAAAGAGAAAGAAACAAGCCCTGTAGTTTAGAATTGTGGTAAGTAATACTAAATAACTACACAATTGAAATAGTTTTATAATCGATACACACATAAAACAAATCATAAATTCTAATGCAGAACAGAACGACTCATAGTCGGGGGCCCCTTGGGAAGATTTGATTGGTAAAATTTGAATGGGCCCCGACTGTGTTTTATTTTATTTTAAACCTTTTAGTTATCTATGGAGTTCATCTATCGAGCTTGGTGGTAAACTCTTTTTACTAGGCGACTTGGCGATGAATAAAAGTTGTTTTTTTTGTTACCAAAAATATTTGTTCCTTCATACCTTTCACTGTTTTTTTTATTTGTATATCGTTTATACTTTAAATAAAAACTTAAATCAATAAGTAAGAAAATTAGCGAGAATTATTGTTTTGTTAAACAACTTTAAATCGTTATATATCCTAAACTATTATTTAAAATGAAAAATGATAAAAGGAACCTTAAGATGATTTTAAAATACCTACATATTCAACGACACGCCACTTGACATAGTTCATGGATTGTTTTTTCATTTTGACAACTTGGCGTCTGGTTGTCGCTGTGGTGAATTTTGAATACTGAAATGAAATGAAATGAAAATGTTTTTATTCAAGTAAGCTTACAAGCACTTTTGAATCGTCCAAAAATATTTTTTCCCCTACTACTTGTTCAGGACGTCTTTTAGCTGACAAGAAGAACAAGCGAAAGAAACTTACCAGCTTTTTATCATAAGTAATGACATTTACATAAATCATGTCATTACCAAAATAATACATATATTGAACAATAATAAATACAAGTTTTAAAGTCTGTAGGACAAAGGTTAGTACATACCTATAATTAATCGTTATAGAACAGAGCGAAGGCTATTAATTCCATGCAGTGCGGTCCTTAAAATAATCATCAACTTAATAATAGCCTTTACTCATAAGTATATTCTTTACATGAATTTGAAATTTATTCATGGGTAGGTCAATTACATTTTGTGGAACTTTATTGAACATAGCAATACATTTACCCAGAAATTATCCTCTGGTTTTTTGAAGTCTGAAGCTTGGAACGGCAAGTTTATTTTTATTTCTTGTGTTAAGATTATGAACACTACTTTTTTTTGTGAAGGAATCGTAATGTTTTCTTGTGTACATAATATTCTCATAGATGTATTGAGAGGCAACAGTCAGAATATTTATTTCTTTAAATATTTCTCTGAGAGATTACCTAGACCGTAAATTATATATAATACGGACAGCTCTCTTTTGTAGAATAAAAATATCTTGAATGCTAGCCGCAGAACCCCACAACAATATACCATACGTCATTACACTATGAAAATAACTAAAATATACCAATCTTGCCGTTTCAACATTTGTCAAGAGTCTAATTCTCAAGTCAGAACTCAGTCTACTTAACAAGCTATCAATATGAGGATCCCATTGCAGTCGGGAATCTAGTGTAATACCAAGGAACTTTGTCGATTCTACTAACTCAACTTTTTCACTATTTACATTTATAAGTGTACTGACATGCCTCACATTAGGTAATGCAAACTCATATCTTTAGTGACACTCGCAAGGTAAGGACGAATCGATTGACGTAAAAATCATCATAATCGGCCTACGCATTTGGTCTCTAGAACGCCACACAGAAACAAATATATATACATACATAGACTGATAAACGCATTACCCTCCTTTGCGTCGCGCAGTCGGGTAAAAACAATGATCTTTATTTTAATGATTAACCTATTACAGGACCATACGTCCGTAGCGGACACGATAGCCCAGGAGCTGATGAAGTCAGAACGCCAGCATTCGACGGAGACCAATGTCCAACTGGATATGTTAGAATTTACAACAAATGTGTGCCCGTAGACAAAGACTAATGTCTGTCTGTACATATATTAAAACACAGATTATCTTGCATACGTTTAAAGTTTGATAAGAGTCTAGAAACCAGCAGTATTAATTGTATGTTTTCGTATTAATTTGTCGAAGATCAATAACGTATTGAAGATGTATGAATTAAAATATAAATAAATTTTGTGTGTAACATATTTCGTATCTTTAATATTTTAAGTTTCACTATTGTCACATAACACTATGATATTTTCAAAGTGTTTTCTATACATTTCAATAAAAATTATATTGAACTAGTGAAATTTTTCCCATTTATAAAATTGGTCCTGCTGTTTCGGAACCTATTGAATGCAAACAAATCTTTCCTTTTTATTTTCTAAAGGAGGCTGATGAGTTTACATTTTCTAGAAATTTTTGTCGCCAAATAACCACTTAACATTACGTAAATAACTTAAGAAAGCTTTAAAACGCTTTAATGAAAAAAGGCTATGTTATTTGATTTTTGCTATATCCATAGTATAATTTTGATGTTATAAAGAGAAAAGATTTGTATATTTTCTTGCATTGAATAGGCTCCTAAACTATTAGACCTATTTAAATATATTCTTAATATAAGAATCCTACATTATGCTTGATGAGAATGGGCGATTTTTTTTTCATAAACGTATGGGATCCGTATTAAAACTTCTACTATCAATTAGTACAGTATTCAACTACCTATTTAATATTTTTAATTATATTACGGTGAATCCGTGTTCTGTATTATCAAAGGTAAAAGATAATTTACTAATTAAATATAATATTAATTATAATTAGAAAACTACTAATTTTAATTATTAAACTACCTTTTATTTTTAAAAGATAATTTACTTGTTATAATTAGTAAATTACGAATTATAATATTTTTGTTTAATTTTGCATTCACAATGCCATAATGAAAATTATTCTTAATAAACATAATATTCGTTGCTGAGGTTCCATTTTATATAGCTAAGGCCAAGACAAAGCCTTATGAAGATCTGAATAAACGAAGGTCCTAAAAATCCAGTTCATTGTTAAGACTATAAAACTTTAGTGGCGTCTAAACAGATGTACAATATTAAATTATTAAGTTTAAATAAGTGTCAGTGTATCTCTTCACACGTATTTAAAAAAATAAAAAGACTAGGTTGCAACCGGACTCTTTTTTGATAGATTAATTAATTTTAAGCTCAGGGAATAATGAAAGTTTTAGCATATCGGTTTAGTAGTTTTCAAAATATAGATTTTTAAGTAACCTAATAATATGTGTTTATCAGAAAAAAATTAACGCCATCACCAGCCTTTTAACGCCCCCACTGCTGGGGCTCAGGACTTCCCTATGGATGGGATCGAATCGAGAGAATGGGCATTGACCCACCATGGGCGGAGTGCAGATAGGCGGGTGTTATTGACTGTATATGCGGCTAATACCATCAGCTTAGCGTGCCTTACGAAGCTCAGAGGAACTCGAGATAACACATTTTTGGTCACCCATCCTATGACTGGTTCTTGCAAAGCTTAACATTCGTATAGCTTACCGAGTGCGCTAATCAATGCACCATCAAGCTTTTATTAGAAAAAAATATTTAATTAATAAAAAAAGATACACATAATAGCTGACTCTTGCATTTATCAGACAAATAATTTATCAGATCGGGAAATGAAGCTGGCACCTCATAACGACACATTAAAGCCCGCATGTGAATATTAAAAAAACCGGATGAAGCTTGGCTGGATGAAGACAGCAGGTGATTGTGTTTTGTGGCGCACACTGGGGGAGGCCTACATCCAGTAGTGGGCTGCAATAGGCTAATATGATGACGAAGAAAAAACTAACTGTGGTGATTATTGTAGGTGAATATCGGTTATAACTATGTTATAATCAGGGACAAATTTTTGCATTACATACCTAGTTATAATTTTACGGGGATACGGTTACGCTTTTCTTACCATAAAATATTGATTTATAATATGGAAAATCGATTTCAAATAATAATTCACTTGAGAAGAAACTAATGATACCTAAAAATAAAGAAGCACGACAAATCAATTGCTATATTTTTATTAGGTTAGGTAAATTCTTATACTCTTACTAATAGAAGAATTTATACCGGTTGTATAGTTAAACAGGCTCTGTTCATATCATCCGAATGGGACTTTCAGTTTGAGAAGAAAAAGACAAAACACTGCATTACAATTCAGCGTTTAAACATTACTTATTAGTAAAGCTATTATAGTTTAATAAATGACATCTTTGCAAGTCACAGTTGGAAGTAAAATCTAGCCATTTGAAAATTTCATTATGTCACCTATTACCAGACTTGGCACCATCGAGACCTTACTACTTTAAATTTGAAGATTTGATGATCTTTTTTTTAGCTACTCGTAGCTTTAGAAATTTTCATTTTATACTGTTTATATATTTTTAGACTAAACACTTTAGCCGTTTTCATTAACCTAAAACAAGGCATAGCTTAACTAGGAAACGCTTAATATTAAATTATCGCCTAAGCAGATAATTTTAAAACTTGACTTATTTGTGATCTATAATATTACACAAATGCCTAGCGTAAGGCTCTGCATAATGCATGTCATAGCTATTAAATTTAATTTAATCTTAGGTAATTCCTAAATATTTAAGCTACCGATTAGGGCGACCCCTAAGTTTAGTAACAACAGGCACTTGTCTTTAAAACATATGGGAACTAAATTTTAACTAGCATCCCAATTTCAAGGGTTATTTAATTATAATGCTGCTTTAAACTGAAATTTAAGTTAAAAATTATTATTTACTTTTATTGTACAGCCAACAGCAAGTCAGCTTATACAAATTAGCCAAACTCCATTTGATTTTAAATCTTAAAGTTTTGTAGGTGGAGTTTAAAATAAACTGCAGAGACATATTGTGGTAACCTGACTTGCAGACGTATTACTTAACATATGAATTCAGAGTTTCTGTTACTTTTATTGTATTTCATTACGGCCAAAAAAAAGTATAGATTTTGTTTTG